TGTTGTTGTTCCAGTGAGCAACTCGACGCCGTATTGATCAGTTAGTTGAAATTCTTTCCCAAATACAAATATTGGTTCTTTTTAGAAGCTTCCATTACAATCTTTTAATCGGTAAATGTATCCTTGTGACTTTCGCTTCTTCTTTTTAAAAAGATCTGTACCATTTAAACAATATTACAACATTATATACTTCTGCCATTCACTTATAAAAACTTTACGCTGTTAAAACAGTGAAGATATTCGGCAACCTTACAATGATTTTGAGCCGTCACAAAAATTTGCAACATCAGATATAAGCAGGCTCAAGTTTCTCCTTAGGTCATGCTTCCAAGTGCCGTGAAGGAAGAACCTGAAGATGAGGAATATGCGTCTGAACATAGATCCACCTCCCAACCAGCTGAAGAAGTTGAGGAGCAGTTCGTTGATATCGAATCACCACCAGAAGAAGACGAACTAGGTGCCAATGTCAAGGCAGAGGAACATCATACACCACTCATTCAACGAAAAACACAAGCCCGCAAAAGTGGCTCAACTCCGGCTCCACCTCCGCCTTATATCGAACCGGAGGTATACTGCATATTTTTGACTTGATTATTCTTTTATACGTTTTGTTTCTTTTGAGGAACCTATTGAAGGAGAAGTTGACATAGAAGGAATCGAAATTATGGGACATGAAACAGGTGGAATAATGACTTTAGCTGATGCTATAGATGTTGCTTTGGAAGAAGAAGTGTCTGGAGGAGAGGAAGATGATCAGCCGCCGCTGCTTGAGAAAAGTGCAGAGTAAGCAAACGCTAATTTTATGTTGATTTCTCATCTGTTTGACTTTACTAGGAGAAAACGTCCACGTGGTAGACCTCGTAAACATATCGCCGGTACAGCTATAATAGCACGTGGGCGTACGGGACGACTTGTCCCTCTACCTAGATCGCGCTATGTGGCTGACAAAGCTATCAGCAAGGGAGAAGCTGAAAAGATAAACAATTATAATATCAAACTGGTAAGAGAATGGTGTATATTCCATTTTTTTTTCTAATCAGTTGATTCTACCTTCCTTTAGTTTGAAAATGAGGTGGGAGTTACGGAATTTGGAGATCGTTATGCTACTGTAATTCCTGGATGCCT